TCCCGCAGCCACTTCCAAATAATCACTCAGAGGCTTATATTAATTATAAATGCTTGGCTGATGGCTCAGGCTTATTACTAGCTAGCTCTTACATTTAAGTTAACCCATCTTTCTGATCTATGCTTTGCCACATGGTTCATGGCTTGCTACCTCATTTTCTACATGTCTTGCTTCCTCAGTGGCTACCGGGCATCTGCCCCAACTCCTTCTCCTTCTCCCTGTCTCTCTGTTTTGCTTTCCCACCCAGCCTTATTCTGCCTGGCTACAGGCCAAATCAGCTTTTATTATCAACCAGTGAGAGAAACACATATTCACAGGGCACAGAAGGATCCTCCCACAGCATTTCTCCCTTTCTGTCTAATCAAAAAGGAAGGTTTTAACTTTAACATAGTAAAATTACAAATAAAAAAATAGTTATCAAGCAATAATTACAGCTACAATATCTAGTCTATTTGTATTTGACAAAATCAGAGAAAACATTCAATTATCTATCATATCTTGGTGAGTCTATAAAGTTTTATATCTAATTTATCCTTTTATCATAATTATGAAAAATTATAACTATGACTATCTAGTATTCAGTTTTATCAAAGACCCCAGAAGGATATACTGAGTAAACAGGAAGTGCATTGCAAGCAACTTGTAAAACTCTAGAAATCACAGAGATATCTGGATGCCTAGACAGTCACCCAAAATTCTTCTATAATGTTGGGGCATCCATCTTCAGGCTACAGGCCTAGAGTATCTGGCAGACTTTTTAGTGAAGCAGAAATGTGAAGGGCTGTCCTGGCTTGTATTGGCAAAGTTCATCAGTTGCTTTCCTCTGTGTCCTGTAGAATGTTCGACAGTTTCTTCCGTGAAGCAGGAACCTGAAGGACCATCCCACCTTGTGTTGGCGAAGTTCAGTCGCCATTTTCCTGTGGGTCCTGTATGTCTAGTTTATGCCACATACTCTCAAGCAGACCAGGCAAGAGCAGTTTCTTGCCTAAATGGCTAGCCTTACCACATTGAAAAAACACCCCATAAGGAGTTTCTTCGAAGCCCATCATCTTTTTTTTCATTTTTATTTATTTATTTTTCTATTATCAGCTTGATACAGTCCAAATTCTTAACCTAATAGTGAAATGTTTCACTGAGGCTTGCCCAGTAATTGAGTAAGACCAAAACTTATTATAAACCACAGTCATCCTAGGATCCCCCCGTTATATAGCCTCTCTGGTTCTGTGGGTTGCAGTCTGATTGTTCTTTGCTTTATATCTAGTATCCACTTATGAGTGAGTACATACCATGTTTGTCCTTCTGGGTTTGGGTTACCTCACTCAGGATGATGTTTTCTAGTTCCATCCATTTGCCTGCAAATTTCATGCCGTCATTGTTTTTCTCTGCTGAGTAGTATTCCATTATGTATATGTACCATATTTTCTTAATCCATTCTTCAGTTGACAGGCATCTAGGTTGTTTCCAGGTTCTGGCTATTACAAATAGTGCTGCTATGAACATAACTGAGCATGTATCTTTGTGGTATGATTGAGCATTCCTTGGGTATATGCCCAAGAGTGGTATAGCTGGGTCTTGAGGTAGATCATTTCCCAATTTTCTGAGAAACCGCCATACTGATTTCCACAGTGGTTGTACAAGTTTGCATTCCCACCAACAGTGGAGGAGTGTTCCCTTTGCTCTACATCCTCTCCAGCATTGACTGTCATTAGTGTTTTTGATCATAGACATTCTGGCAGGTGTAAGGTGGTATCTCAGAGTCGTTTGATTTGCATTTCTCTGATGGTTAAGGATGTTGAGCATTTCTTTAAATGTCTTTCAGCCATTTGAGATTCTTCTTTTGAGAATTCTCTGTTTAGCTCTTTAGCCCATTTTTTAATTTGATTGTTCAGTATTTTGATGTCTAGTTTCTTGAGTTCTTTATATACTTTGGAGATCAGTCCTCTGTCAGATGTGGGGTTGGTGAAGATCTTTTCCCATTCTGTAGGCTGTCTTTTTGTCTTATTTACTGTGTCTTTTGCCCTACAAAAGCTTCTCAGTTTCAAGAGGTCCCATTTATTAATTGTTCTCAGTGTCTGTGCTGCTGGTGTTATATTTAGGAAGTGATCTCCTGTGCCAATGCGTTCAAGAGTACTTCGTACTTTCTCTTCTATCAAGTTTAGTGTAACTGGATTTATGTTGAGGTCTTTGATCCACTTAGACTTGAGTTTTGTGCATGGGGACAGATATGGATCTATTTGTAATCTTTTACATATTGACATCCAGTTATGCCAGCACCATTTGTTGAAGATACTTTCTTTTTTCCATTGTATAGTTTTGGCTTCTTTGTCAAAAATCAGGTGTTCATATGTGTGTGGATTAATGTCAGGGTCTTCAGTTCGATTCCATTGGTCTGTATGTCGGTTTTTATGCCAGTACCAAGCTGTTTTTATTACTATAGCTCTATAGTAGAGCTTGAGGTCAGGGATGGTGATGCCTCCAGAGGTTGCTTTATTATACAGGATTCTTCTAGCTATCCTGGGTCCTTTGTTTTTCCATATGAAGTTGAGTATTTTTCTTTCCAAGTCTGTGAAGAAGCCCATCATCTTCTTTGAAATAATTGGTGCTGCCAGGAGCAGACATGTCTCACTGTTGAGAAAAGTCTAAGTTCTTAAAACATTTGAAATGCCATATTCTATAGGTCTTTAAAGTGTTTGAAGATTACCTATCTAATTGAAATATATCTTTGTATACCTAGAAAACCTAACTAATATAGTTATAAGTTTGATTTTTTTTTTTTGGTTTTTCGAGACAGGGTTTCTCTGTGTAGCTTTGCACCTTTCCTGGAACTCACTTGGTAGCCCAGGCTGGCCTTGAACTCACAGAGATCCGCCTGGCTCTGCCTCCCAAGTGCTGGGATTAAAGGCGTGCGCCACCACCGCCCGGCTATAAGTTTGATTATTATAGATGACTATTAATCTGTGTTTTTAAATTATACATTACAATTTTAAATGAGTTGCATAAACATAATATCTTAAGGAAGAGTAGGAATATACATATAACAAAATTAACTTTAAATTTATATCAATAAACTAAAATCCATATCAATGTAAAATATTTTGAGATTAACAATTGTTTTTGGATTAAAGTAGATTCAATAATCTACCCCTTCCTTTTTCATCATAATAATTTGCCCTTTTCCCCATCATTTTTATATCATATCCCCCTTTCTTCTTTTTTTTTTTTTTTTGGTTTTTGTTTGTTCTTTTTAACTTTTTTTAGGCCTCCCTGTGGGTAACAAATGTGACTGAGACCCTTCATTCTGTGCGTGACTGTATGTGTGACTGTACGTGTGCACACGGGTGCAGTGTGTGTGCACATGCATGTGCGTGTAGGTCAGAAGTTAACCCGAGAGCTGTTCCTCCGGGACTGCCTGCATTGTTTTCTGAGACATGGTCCCTCATTTGCCCGGAATCTGCCGGCTGCGCCAGCTGGCCAGAGAGCTCTAGGCATCTCCTGCTTCTGCCTCCCCAGCGCTGCTACCACCCCTGGGGTGTTTTATGCGGGTGCTGGGGATTGAACTCGGGTCCCCATGCTTGCAAGGCGAGCACTTTACCCACTGAGCCACCTCCCCAACCCCCCCTTTCTTCTTTAGAAAGAGATTGACTATGACCATTAACAATTTATGGTCAACCCCCCTAATGAAAACTAACACTTGTAACCAATATTTTGGGAATGTGGATGTAGTTTTCTAGACTACTTCCTGTTGATTGGGGGTGCTGGTAATCTTATGGGGACCCTGAGGAAATTTAGAACTGTGGTCAAGTCCTGCCTGGGGTATTTTGTGTGGCTGGTCCATGTCAGCCAGCAGCCTTGAAGCTGATTGGATATAGAACTCAGAGGAAACTGTAACAGAGGTGTACTGAAACATTGGATCATCTGGGCCATCTGTTTTTATTCATGTCTGTTCCCCTTGTTCTGAAAATATATAAACTTTTAAAGGCAACATACACATCTGTATTAATACAAATATACACTGTGTATTACACATAAGTCAGCCAAAGGTAGTTTTTTTGTTTGTTTGTTTTATATCTGAGCAGGTAAATACACGTCATGTGTCTTGCAGTTACTTTAGGTTTATTTTCCCATGTCTGTAGTCAGGATTTTCAGGGAGTCTTCCTCAATCAAACCTGATTTTCCTTAACCCAGAATAAATCCATAGCCTCTCATTTTCTGTGGAAATAAAAGCAGAGCCTCTTTCTCAAAGTAACATATCTAATTTAGCAGCTTTTAAAATCAAATGTCTCTTAGCAGTCAGTTCATTAACAGTCAAAAAATCCAAAGAAAACACAACAACATACATAATATAGCCTCTGTGTATACTTTTCATCTTTATATGGCTTATTTTCTTTATATTATTTTACTCCCCTTTTAAAGAATTTTATTTTATTATTTTAAATCTGTATTTTTTTTTTTTTTTTGGTTTTTTCGAGACAGGGTTTCTCTGTGTAGCTTTGCGCCTTTTCCTGGAACTCACTTGGTAGCCCAGGCTGGCCTCGAACTCACAGAGATCCGCCTGGCTCTGCCTCCCGAGTGCTGGGATTAAAGGCGTGCGCCACCACCGCCCGGCTAAATCTGTATTTTTAATCTAAGATTGTATGTATTCTTTTTCTTTTCTCTCTCAAACCTAGGCATATCTTTTAAATACACTGTGACCCGTTTAGAGGCCTTTTTGTCTGAATTGGTTTTTATTGGGTATCTTTAACCCTTTTTGTTTGTATGAGTGAAAGCCCTCAATCCGCTGCACTGCACATGGCTGGGAGACACCTCTCTGTATTGGAGAGTGTGGGAACTGCCATGCTGCAGCTCAAGCCTATACACTGTGGCCAGGGCATCTCTATACTGCAGCCTGCATTAGAGACATGAACTATGAAGCTGCTCTTGGCTCTGTTTTTTTTTTTTTTTTTTTTTTTTTTTTTTGTGTGTGTGTGTGTGTGTGTGTGTGTGTGTGTGTGTATTAGGATCTTTTTAAGCTTTTTTGGGTCTTATGTGGATCTACACCCCACATTGGTTGTCATGTGTAAACAGAGGTTTTCTCTGTCCTACCCCATCCTGCAGCCACTTCCAAATAATCGCTCAGAGGCTTATATTAATTATAAATGCTTGGCTGATGGCTCAGGCTTATTACTAGCTAGCTCTTACATTTAAGTTAACCCATCTTTCTGATCTATGCTTTGCCACGTGGTTCAGGGCTTGTTACCTCATTTTCTACATGTCTTGCTTCCTCAGTGGCTGGCTACCGGGCATCTGCCCCAACTCCCTTTCCTTCTCCCTGTCTCTCTGTTTCACTTTCCCGCCCAGCCTTATTCTGCCTGGCTATAGGCCAAATCAGCTTTTATTATCAACCAATGAGAGAAACACATATTCACAGGGCACAGAAGAATCCTCCCACAGCAGAGATGTGCCTGCTTCTGCTTCGTGGATGCTGGGATTGAAGATGTGTGCCACAATACCCAGCTGATGGAGGCAGTCCTTAAATTGAGGTTCCCTCTTTCCAGTTGACTCTAGGTTGTAGCAAGTTGACAATTGAAACTAATCAGGACAATGTCATGGAGTTGGCATGAATCTCTATACATTATACCTCATGAATCAGAGCTGGATGTGATATCATATGCCTGCATTCCCATCACTCAGTAGACTGAGGCCAGAGAATTTTGAATTCCAGGCCAGCCTAATGGAGAAAGCAAGACACTGTCTCAACAATGAAACAACACCATAGAAGTTCCACACCTAAATAAAACCATCTCATGCACCAGATTCTATTAACTACAAACAAACAAACAAAGCCCTGCAGCTTCCTCACATCTCTGTAACTTTATCGAATTGAAGAGAGGTAGGGCCCTGTTCTGGATAGAATCCTTGCTCTGGATTAGGCTTTGGCTAAGAGACACTTCAGCTGGTGTGATCTGTCCAAACCACTAAATCTCTTTCTGAAATCCCGGTTTGCTTTCCCATCACTCGTGTGTTCCGGGTGGCACTTTGAATTTACTTGGAGTGTTTGCTTTCATTCACAGTCGGGCCTGCTGTCTAATGTAGGGCCCCGACCTTCATCTGCGGCAGCTTTCAACTTAGCTTTTCCACTTTAATTTCTGGTGTTTGATTTAAAGTGAGAGATGTGCCATCTTCTTTTACTTAAACAGTTAGAGGCCGCTGCAGGATTATCAACTGACCTAATTTCAATACTATTTTGCCCCAAGGAAAGGGAATGAGATGGGGGAGTAGCTGATGGATGGGGCAGTCCGAACATACCCATTTACTCTGCTGGCTATGTATGGATGTGGGCCATTGCCTCCCAAACTACTTTTTTTTTTAAGATTTTATTTTTTTATGAGTGCTTTATCTGCATGTACAATTTTATGCCAGAAGAAGACATCAGATCCCACTAGAGATGTTTGTGAGTCACCATGTGGTTCCTGGGAGTTGAACTCAGGACCTCTGGAAGAACAGGCAGTGCTCTTAACCACTGAGCCATCTCTCCAGCACCCCCCCCCCCAACTACTTATAATTGCAACATCAAAGATCACTAGTCACAGATCACCATCTGTTGTATGACTTTTTCTAGGGAGACATCTACTCACCCTACATAGGACACTGATCATGGAAACAAAGAAATGATTCGGCCCAAGTCTGGCTCGGCGAGCCAGGGTTTAACTGAGGTTATTTACAGGCACTGCACCACCAGATAGGAGCATCCCCATTCAGGATTAACTGCCTTTATGCCTTAGGGGAGGAGAAGGGCTCATGAGCTCTGTGGGTTGCCTTGTAAGCAAGCCCTGTGTTCATCTCTGTGTGCCTCTTGAGCCCTTTGAACCCCCATCTTCCGTAAGAGAACATTAGCAGAGCTAATCTCGTGAGGATTTCTTGAGGGTAATCATAGTTGCTCTGATGACAGTGGGGAGGAATAGCATCTCATAATTCCATAATCTATAATAATAATGAAAATTTTGAAATATTGAAAGATTTACCAAAATGTGACCCAAACCCCACATGAGCATGTGCTGTTGGGAAAATGATGCTGGTTGGTTCAGTGTGGAGGATGACTCAGCAGAACCTAGACACCTGAAGATGCAGCTCTGCTTCCGGGAACTTAGCTAATCAATATGCCTGTATATGTTTTAACTATTCCTTGTATTATGGTTTGAGATAATGCCAAGTCTGAAAACAACGTGTATTCATCAATGATAAACCAGTGCAATCCATACAATGGAGTACTATAGACCCATTATTATTATTATTATTATTATTATTATTATTATTATTATTATTATTATATTCTAGCTGGTAGACAAGTCCATCTGGTACTCTGTCTCTCAGCACCTGACACTTATTTGTTCTCCACGTGGTGCTGGGTCTCAAACTCGGGGCCTCACAGTGACATTGCGGAGAGTTAACCCTCAGCCCTCACTTTTACCGCCTTATGTTAAGAGTGGGAATCTGAGCCAGCGTAAACTGCTTAATTTGGAGATGGCACCGATTGTTGTGCCCAGGTGTTGAGAACATTGTTTTTCTTTGAACTTGAATAATATTCATGAGACATCTCAGTCTGGTTAATAATTAGTTTTTCCTGGAACGTGGTAAGGTCTTTCAATTTTAGTTTTATACCGCTTTTACTTTGGCTATTCCAAGTGTTGGTATTTCTCTGTCCAGAATTGTTACGTACATTACGTCAGTCACCCTTGTTCTGACTAACCACGCTGTTTTCAGGCCACATTTACCTGGACTTTTTGTATTTAAACCTCCCCAAATTGCTTCTCCAGACAGCTGTTAGTCTGTAGTTGTTTGTAATGTGGTTTCAAATTCCATACGTCTTTTGCTTTCCTTTTTCTTTCTTTGTTCTTGAGACAGGGTGTCTCTGTGTAGCCCTGGCTGTCCTGGAACTCACTCTGTAGACCAGGCTGGCCTCAAACTCAGAGATCCACCTGCCTCTGCCTCCTGAGTGATGGGACCAAAGGTGTACGTCACCATGCCCAGCTGCTTTTTCTTTTTTTTATAAGTACATTTATAAAAAATACATTTATTTATGTATTTTATATATGAGTGATCTGTTTGTACACGTGTGTGCCAGAAGAAGGCATCAGATCCCACTATAGATGGTTGTGAACCACCATGTGGTTGCTGGGAATTGAACCCCAGACTTCTGGAAGTACAGCCAGTGCTCTTAACCACTGAGCCATCTCTCCAGCCAGCCGTTGCTTTTTCTCATCTCTTGTTTCTTTCAGCTCTTGTGATCAGTTGTGTGGAGTTACCTTGTTTTTATCTCCATGAAGCTTTTCAAACTTCTATTTTATGGAACTAATTTTCAAGTGAGTTTTTTTCTTTTCTTTTCTTTTTTAATGTTATGGCAGTTTCCCCTTTCTCTTTCATGTGGTGTTGCTTTTTCTTGTTACTGGTTTTGTAATTATTTATTGTTGAATGGGACCATTCTGTTCTAGCCTGATCTTTGCTTGAGAGTGGTGTAAGCAGAGCTACCGTGCGCCCTCCCCGTTCTCCTGGCGACTGGAAGAGCTGCTGCGGTGTCTCTGGCTGGGCACGTAGTCTGCTGCCATTGGCTGCGTGGTGCCGCGGTTCCCATTGGTTCTTGAGGCCAGCAAGGTTGATGGATGGTGAGTTACTTCTGTGTGACGTGCTTCCTGATTCTGTTTTCTACATAACCATGCCTGTGTCTAGGCAAGATTTTTTTTTTAATGTTCCACAAGCTACTGTGGGTTTTAGGGCGCCCTCCCTGCTTACCTTTTTAATCCTGCAGTTACAGCCAAAGAACAGGTGGATTTTTTTTTAAATCAGCTCTCTTGTTAAAGGAGGTGCTGGGAACACGTGTGGAATCAGTGGTCTCCTGCGTGCCATCCTTCCTACAGACCTTGGAGTAGTTATGCAAAAAAAAAAAAAAAAAAAAAAAAAAACAGTGTCTACAGAAGAGCCCCCAAGAACTTCGGCCTTTGTAGACTGCAAGTGGTGGTGTCCCTTCAAGGGCTGAGAACTGAACCCCCCAACTTTAAATCTTGTTGGATTAGTTCGACCCCACTGAGGAATGAGGACCGTTTGTAAATTCTTCAGTCAGCTTCTCACAGGGGAAGCCCAGAAAAACTATGAAGAACTATTCCCACCGTAAATATGTTCCCATTTTTTCGGGTGTCAGTTCTGCTGTCCTGTGATTGGCTGCTGTGACTTCAACCTGACCTGTGATTGGCTGCTGTGACTTCATCCTGACCTGTGATTGGCTCTGACTTCAAGGATTCATCAAGTTAGAGGTGAGCTTTTCAGAGATCGCTCAAGTTGCCAAAACTGGATCTGTATGAGATTAAAGGACATGTATACGCATGTCAGCTTTGGGGGTCTCCTTAAAGCTTAAAGTGATGTGTATTTCATTATATCTGACATTTATTTATTTATTGTCATCACAGCTTTAAAATACGGACATTTTGCATATGAGATATTTTAATTTTAGAGAAAAGAGTTATGTAAACATGACACCTAATATATCATTTTCCCCAGAAGCTTTAAATACTTTGAAATCATTGTTCATCTGACATTTTTCTCTCCCCTCTCTCTCTTTTGAGACAGGATTGCACTGTAGATCTTTGTCTGGCATGGAATTACACCTCTCTCCACCTGGGTTATTTGTATAGCTTTAGCTATTGGTATAATAGAATTTTGTGTATTCACTGAACTTTTAAAGTTCTTTTGTAAATTGCCTATTGTTTTATCCTTACAGTTTGAGAGTGTGAGCGTGTTATTCACGTGTGTGTGCTCACTTGCCTGTATGTGGAAGCCAGACGTCAACTCTGAGTGCCCTCCCGTACCACTGTTCACCATTTTACGACAGACAGGGTCTCTCATTGAACCTGGAGCTTGTCATTTTGACTAGACTAGCTGGCCAGTAAACCATGGGGAATAACCTGCCCTATCCCAACCCCAGATCTGGGGTGACAGGTGCAGGCCACCATTCCCAGCGTGTATGTGGGTTCTGTCATAAGCAGCCATATGAAGAAGTCATGTGACAAGGAACCAAAAACAAGCAAAGCATATGAGATGAGGCTGGGGGACGTGCACCAGAAGGGCTCCTACGTGTAACACATGCATTCCAGAAAGAGAGTGGAGAGGATAAAGACAAAAATAATAACTTCCTATTTCAAAATGGCAGGGTTAATACCCTTTGCCTCCCATGCTTCCTTACTAGCCTTTGGAATGAGACTAAGACAAGCACATGACCAAAGCAAAATAAACTACATGTGTTTATTATGTTAAGGCCAACAAAACACCAGAGGGCTGGCCCTTTGGGTACATGAGAGATTTTAGTATTCCTGGAAGACAAAATAACAATAAAAACTTTTGACAGAAAAGCAAAGTCGAGAAACGGTAGACTAGTCACAAAACAAGCTGCTATAAATAAGATAGCCTGTTCCCCAGGAGGTCTGTGGGCTAGCAATAATAAGTAATTATAGGTAGTCACTTTCCTACACACACCAAGCAAGCCAAAAGAATAGCTGAGCTCCCCCTCTGGCAAGGGGAGTGGCTGTTCTCTAAGGAAATGAAAAGTCATCTGGGGCCAGCATGATGGCTCGATCAGCAGGTAAGGGTGTGACTCCAAGCCTAACAACCTGAATTGCATCCTGGGAAACACAGGAGAAGAGGACCACCTCCTTCCAGTTGTTCTCTGACCTCCACGTGTGCCAGGGCTGCCCTGCTGTCAGTGCCATGGCACACAGAGTGGCCGCACAGGCTCCCTCCCTCCCCGAGGAGCACAGCCACACTCGCCTCAGCCAGGCCTCAGAATTCATAAAATGAAAAAGTTCCAAGTGGTGGCAGCACTCCTGTGCCAGCCAGATGTTCAGGCGACACCCTCTCAGCACCACCTCCCAGCTGTGGCCAAGAAATTCCAAGAACATAATGAAGAGTACTTTGAATTGGTCTCAGAGGAAATCTGTACCTATCATTGTGAAATAAAGGGTAGACCCTGAAAGCCTCTAGAAAACAGACTGCTTCCAGAACAATCACCAGACTCACATGAAAACTGACATCAAGAAACCAGCATTATAAGCAACGGAAAAGGCCCCTCTCCAGTTCTGCTGTGGGAGATCAGAACAAAGCCATTTAAAGACATCCAGGGACATAGAAAGCTTATCTTCCAGGTACCTTTCCCAAGCGAGTTACTTGAGCCTTTTCTTTTGCTAAACAAGGATTAAAAACTCATGGTAGCATATTGTCACCAAGGTCCTGGACTCCAAAGAGGTATTACCTTCTGTGGCAAAAGGAACTTGACAGGTTGATAAGGATCATGAAGTAGAAATGGGTTGTCAGGGCAGCTTAGATGGAATCACAGATCCTTCAGAAGCAGAGAAGGAAGGAGCAGTGTGGCGCAGGAGCAGGTTGGAAGGTGCTGAGCTGCTGATTTTTGTCTTCTGGGCCCTGCTTACTCCACTTAGCATGTTTGGACACATTGTCACCAATTACAGGAATTCTTTTTATGGCTGAATAATATTCTGTTATGTAAATATGCCACATTTTCTTTTTCCATCAATTAATGATGAACTATTGGCATTTTTGTTTCATTTGTTTTGTTTGTTTGTTTTTCCAGACAGGGTTTCTCTGTGTAACAGTCCTGTCTGTCCTGGAACTCTCTCTGTAGACCAGGCTGGCCTCGAACTCACAGAGATCTGCCTGCCTCTGTCTGCTGAGTGCTGGGCTTAACGGCGTGCGCCACCACACCCAGCTGAACAGTTGGCATTTTACATTTTTGCATTTATTGCGTGTGTGCCTGCAAGTACCATGGTGTGGGAGCAACTTTCAGGAGGTGGGTGTGAGTTCTGGAATTGAACTCAACCCCGAGACATCTCACTGTGGCCATACTCTTCTGATGACAAAGTTACAGTCTTGTGAGCACCATTCAGAAGTGACAATGCCGTCGTGTGTCCCAACACCTTTTATTCCTCTGTTTTGAGTGTTGGCAAATGAACTCACAGGAACGATGGGCAAGTGCTGCCACGGAGCTGTAGCCTAGCCAGATGTTTGTGTTTCTAAAAGTACCTTAACCATTCATCCTCTGAGTTCTATATCTCAAAATGTCTTCCCTTTTGTTTGTATCTTTGCTTTTTTCTTACTTTAAGAGAGTGTCTCACTGTGTAGGCCAGGATAGCCTGGGACTTAGGTATTCCTGTGTCAACATGGTTGTTTCTTTCAAGTATCCTAAGTATAGCTTTTTATTTTACTTAAATTTGCTATTTTATTGAAAACTCACCTCTAATCTGTATTTTTGTTTCATTGTGTTTTTCAAGATAGGTTTTCTTTTCTTTCTTTCTTTCTTCTTATTTATTTATTTATTTAATTTATTTGGGGTTTTTTCGAGACAGGGTTTCTCTGTGTAGTTTTGGTGCCTGTCCTGGATCTCGCTGTGTAGACCAGGCTGGCCTCAAACTCACAGAGATCCGCCTGCCTCTGCCTCCCGAGTGCTGGGGTTAAAGGCGTTCGCCACCACCGCCTGGCTACTTGAAGTTTGTAACTGGAATCTCTGCCTTGTTTTGATATTTTCTGTGGATTTTTTATATGTACCACCTTGGTATACATTCGTAAGATCTGCTTATGACATCTCCTTATTTTTATTTATTTTGTGTTATTTTGTTTCAGGTGAATGTTGCATCGTATGTGGGTGGTTGGATTATGGTTTTTAGTTTTTTCAGGACTTTATTTTTAACTGGGTTTGACTTTTGGATTAGTGGGGATTAAACCCAGGGCCTTATATGTGCCGGGCAAACACTCTAACCCTGAGTTCCAGCCTTTTTTATGGCTTTGGATTTTTAGTGCTTAAAAGGAAGTTTGTATATGAATTTAAATAATGCAGTCATACCCTAGCATATTGGTGTTGCTATTTGTCAAGCTGACTGTGTCTCTGCTCTCTGGCTTTTGTGTCTTGGTAGGTTTTCTTGCTCTTGTTGGCTCTGGGAATTTAGAAATTAGCCTACTTTTAACTTAATTAGTAAGTGTTTCAAAATAAAAGGGAAATGAATCTGTTTCTTTGCCAACAAGGAGAATCCGGTGAATGAGTCACCTACGTCTCTGTTCACAGTAGTAATTTGGGCTTTAGTATCAAACAATTATTATGTCTCTTTTTTAAACAGCTTTACAAAATGCTTTTCACATTTCATTTCCTTATGTGTAACTATGTCAACTCTGTTAAAGCAGTCACTTACACATCAAGTTTATGATGATGACTTACAGTGTCTGTCCCTTTCTTTCATAACATGGCTCCTCTATAGCCAAGGTTTTCATTTCTGTTGTTTTGTGGGTATTAAAGTATTTCTTTACTATTTAAAGTAATGCATGTATCTGAATCTTTATATCTATATATCTTTATATCTGAAAATGTTTATTAAATTATATTCATCTAACAACAGATTTTTGTAAACATTTTTGTAAAGAAGTGTAATAAAATGTAAATATATGTGTATAAATTTCATTTTTTAGTATATTGCAAAATAAAAAATTAGATTAATAAACTAAGACATGTTTACTAGTAGATATTGATCAAATAGGATTATTTCCAGCCATAACTATAGAATAATAATTTTAACACTTTTGCTTCATAACCAAAGTATAAGTAATAATCTTATTTATTTCTCTAGTTGTAATTATAAAAAAACCTAGATCATATAAAGCAAGCATTATCATGTTTACCTTTAATATCATTTTTGGTTTGTCAATTAAATACTGACAAGTTAGCTAGATATTTATTATTCATAAGTTTTTAATGTAATTTTTAATCCATTGTAAGTTTTTAAAAGAAGCTTAACTTTCATGTGTTTTAGTTATCCATGGATTCCTCTGGGCAGCTCAGGCCAGAAGATACCCAGTCAGTAGTGAGCAGGATGCAGAAGAAGTACTGGAAAACTAAGCAGGTCTTCATGAAAGCAGCAGGGAGAAAAGAGGATGAGCACGTGGTGGCATCTGATGCAGAGCTGGACGCTAAGCTGGAGGTAAATATGAAGACTCTGTATTGTGTGGAACTGGTAGTCATTTGAGACTCCTGGGGGACTTAAACACCAAGGAGTTCAAGGAGCGTTCTAGTTAGGGTTGCTGTCGCTGCGATGAAACACCAGGACCAAAAGCAAGTTGGGGAGGAAAGGGTTTATTTGACTTACACTTCCATATCCTCTTCCACATCTGTAGTCCATCATTAAAAGTCAGGACAGGAACCCAAACAAGGTGGGATCCTCAGGCAGAGCTGATGCCGAGGCATGCTGCCTACTGGCTTGCTCCCCATGGCTTGCCCAGTCTGCTTTCTTGAAGGATTAGGACCACCAGCCCACAATGGACTGGGTCCTCCCCATCAATCACGCATTGAAAATTGATTTTTATTTTTTATTATTTTATATGTATGAGTGTTTTGTCTTCATGTATGTCTTCGCACCACATGTGTGCCATGCCTGAGAAGGCCAGAAGAGGGCATCAGATCCCCTGGAACCAGAGTTGCAAATGGTGCTGGGAATTGAACCCAGGTCCCATGGAAGAGCAGCCAATGTATGTTTATAACTGCTGAGCCATCTCTCCAGCCCCTGAAAATTGAGTTTTAAATGGCCATAACCAGATACCAAATCCAATTCAAGCAGATCTAAAGTTACCTGGAAAAATTATTATATTCCTCCACCAGGTTTTTAGTGCTCATTATAAACATCCCAGGTTTAATTAAGCACCAGCAGTAAAGCTCCCTGGTGGTGTTGAGAACTTAATAATCAGAGGGTGGTGATTATTAAGTCTAGAAATGTCAGGGTTCTTTGAACAGTATCATAGAATTTCTTCAGCATAAGACTTTGTAAAAGGAGATCACTCTGAAATCCACACGGGAAAGTTTAAATTTATGTGTGAAGGGTTTTATCAGGTATCCACTTCCATCTTGTGTGCTTAACTGTGAAATCAGTCCACTGGATCGTTTCTCAATTTTCTGTTGCTGATTAACCATAGTAGCAAAGAAGGGAAATTTCGAACAAAAATAACCCCAAAGCAAGTTTTTGTAACTTTATTTATTTTCAATCATTCTTTTCTTTTTCCTTACGGCAGTTCTGGATAGAACCATGCCTTCCTGCATGCTAGGCAGCTGTTCAACCACTAAGCGATAGACCTCCAAGCCTCTCTTTCAAAAGCAGCTTATATTTGAGGTCATAAATATTCTTTTTAATGTTAACTTGTTTTTAACTGATACATAAAAACACAAGAATTGTACATATTAATGGAAAAGGGGGCTGGAGAGATGGCTCATCAGTTAAGAGTACTGACTACTCTTCCAGAGGACCCAGGTTTGATTCCCAGTGCCCACATGGCAGCTCACAACTGTCTGTAACTCCGGTCTCAGGGGATCAGACACTTTCTTCTGGCCTGCAGGAGCATCAGGCATGCATGTGGTTAGAGACATACCTTCAGGCAAAACACATAAGGATGAAGAATCTCTTTTCAAAGTTGGGTACCATGAAAACATCAATACCTAGTCTGATATGTAATGTTGAAAATAGGTTAAACACATCTCAAACACTTGTCCTTTCTTTCTGGTGAACATTCTCAGAATTCTTGCCACTTTTTGAATTTAATACTACGTTGTGGTCATTCTGTCTCAAACAAAAACGTAAGATGAAATTATTATAAGCTTGCATGTACTGTTTTACATGTGGTGACTGTGTGTGACCACAGTGTCACAGTCTCCCTGACTCCATCTCCCTCACTGGCATTACAGGCTGCCCCACCAGTCTGTTTTGTTGTTGTTGCCGTTTATTATATTTTATTTTATTTATTTATTTATTTTTATTTTTGAGACAGGGTTATTCTGTGTAGTTGTTTTTTTTGTTTTTGTTTTGTCTTGTTTTGTTTTTAGGTTTTTCGAGACAGGGTTTCTCTGTGTAGCTTTGCGCCTTTCCTGGAACTCACTCTGTAGCCCAGGCTGGCCTCGAACTCGCAGAGATCTGCCTTCCTCTGCCTCCCGAGTGCTGGGATTAAAGGCGTGCGCCACCACCGCCCGGCTATTCTGTGTAGTTTTGGTGCCTGTCCTGAAACTCCCTTTGTAGCTCAGGCTGGCCTTGAACTCACAGAGATCCACCTGCTTCTGCCTCCCGAGTGCTGGGACTAAAGGTGTGTGCCACCACCACCCAACCCAATACATTATTTTTTATCGTAAACTTATTGGGCTGTTTTGCTTTGACTACTATTAGAAAAAGCCATATTGAGCATTAGCTGTTTCTAAAGTACTCTCTTTTCCTGTGTTGTGGCATTATTTAATGTGCTTTATATTGGATGTAACTTCCTAGTGTTTAGAATTGGGAGCTGAAGTGGAAACAAATTCTGAAGATGAATTCCACACATCTATCCCTTTTTCTCCAGTATTCACAGGGAAATTTTAAATGTTCTTTCTATATCAGTACTAAAACTAAGCCTGAAGTACATCCCAGTTAAAAAAAAGACATAATATTTTTAAATAGACAGTTACTATGTTTAAGAGACGTATATCACAGCCCAGTAAAATGGACATGATTTATGAAATATACCCAATATATACTTCATGCGAATGTTCTGGTTTTGAAGTGCTGAAAGTTGCATTTGTTTATTGTTCTTTAATTTATTTTTTCCAGGTTTTTCACTCCATCCAGGAGACATGCAATGAACTTCTGAAGATAGTTGAGAAGTATCAGCTAAGACTCAATGGTATGACATCATAGCTATCCCATAATTCCCCTTTAAAATAAATACTGGTATGCAGTTTTGAAAGTGAGTCATTTAATGGGAAAGTAGTTGTTTATCAAACTATTTCATGAGTTTTTATTGTGAAATAGGAATATTTAAGTGACCTGGTCTCAAAATGCCCAGTGTCCATCTTTTCCTTTGACCCAGACTCACTTCCTACTCTTGGGTGTACTCTCTGGGTGAGTCCTAAGTGTGTGTCCATCACTCAAAACCTCTTCTGACTCCTGCAGATCTCACAGTCAGTACCTCACTCCTTTCTTCTCTCGAAGAAACATTTGATAAGGTTGTTTGTATGCTAGGGAGGGACTTTATTCCTTTTTTTTTTTCTTTCTTTTTTTTGAGACAGTTTCATTCTGCAGCCCAGGCTCTCCTGGCATCCTCCTGCCTCCACCTCCCTGAATGCTAGGATCCCAGGCCTGTCCACCACATCAGGCTCCTTCCTTCTGCTTCACTTGTGCTCAGTAGATCGTTTCCTCTCCTCCAAGCATCTCTTGTCACGGTCACCAGAAGGAAAACCCATTGACCAGCTCTCATCCCCACAGCTGACTTCTCCCCCTCCGTTCACCCGCTCTGTCTGCTTCCGTGTGCACATCCCACTTTCCTCTTCAGCTTCCTTCCTCAGCAGTCTGCCTTGGGTGGGCTCTTCTCTGTCCCTGACCACTTCATTGGAACGTAGTCTTTGCGTTTCTTTCTCTGCTTCAGTTATCGTGGTGTACTGGATGTGGCTGCCTCTCTGATCTCATATCCTTTCATTGAATTGTGTTGATCTCTTTCCCGACAAGCACATCTGCATCTTATGCTCCTTAATTTTCCTTGGATTTTTAGTCAAAGGCCGTCTTTTTGATGAGACTTTCCTTTGACTCCCATATCCAAGTTCAGTCCCTGTTGCTAGAGTTTTCCTGTGTCCCAGCCTGCCAGTGGTCAGGACAAATTTCTCACCTGCTGGTTCTGCAGCCACTCAGACCCAAATAAACACACACAGGCTAATATTATTTAAAACTGTTCGGCCATTAGCTCAGGCCTACCACTGACTAGCTCTTACCCTTAAACTCAGCCCTTTTCTGTTAATCTATACATTGCCACATGTTCCGTGGCTTTACCTGTGTGCCTGTTACATGCTGCTCCCTGGATGGCAGGCTAACATCTCCTCACTCAGCCTTCCTGTTCCCTGAATTCTCCTCTCTCTTGTCCCGCCTATAATATACTTCCTTCCTGGCTACTGGCCAATCAGTGTTTTATTTATCAGTCAATCAGAGCAACACATTCACAGCATACAGAGCTATCGATATCCACAGCAACTCCCTTTCCTTTATACTTCTCCTGTGCTCTTACTATATTCAGCATGCTATGTATTTTATCTAGTGTTTCTTTTTACACCTAGAATATGCTCTTCTTTTAAATTTTTTATTACTTACTAGTTACCTAATTACTAGCTACTTGAGGTCAGGGTATGCACATGTCAGGGCATGGGGTCAGAGGACAACTTGCAGGAGCCAATTCTTTCTTTCCATCATGTGGGTTCTGGGGATTAAACTCGGGTCATCAGGCTTGGTGGTGAGCGCCATGACCCACTGAGCCATTGTGCTGGACCTGATAATGCAAGAATTGTGGTTGTTTACTTGTATGTCCCCAAACCTTAAACACAGGGTCTAGCATGTAGTCAGTATTGTATAAATATTTTCTCATTAATAAATTGCTTTCCTGTCTGTGTGGTGGCTCTCCCCTGTGGGCCAGTTAATGCCAGGTCAGTCTGGGTTACAGTAAAACCCTGCCTCAAAAACAAACAAAAAAATAATGTCTTCCAAAGCTGTGTAAGTCAAGGTCACCAGTTAAAATCAAAGCTCACATTAACGAAGAATTCCAATATGGCATAATTAAGGAAGATATTTTGTGTGTGTGTGAATGTGTCATATATACTATGTATGTGCCTTTCCCAAGAAAATAGTTGAACTTTTTGTAGCAAAATGAAAGCTGATACAATAAGCATGCAATGGAGTCAGTTTAGAGACACAACAGAGTTATAACTGCAGTTGGAAATAACTGGGAGTATAGTATTTGACAAAGGGAATGTGTTAATGGTCAGGTAGTCTGTGGAGGTTGGATATATGAGGAACAAAGAGATTGGCCGGGCGGTGGTGGCGCACGCCTTTAATCCCAGCACTCTGGAGGCAGAGCCAGGTGGATCTCTGTGAGTTCGAGGCCAGCCTGGGCTACCAAGCGAGTCCCAGGAAAGGCACAAAGCTACACAGAGAAACCCTGTCTCGAAAAACGAAAAAAAGAAAAAAAGAAAAAGAGATTTAGAGGCCAGGGAAATGAGATTACAGAAAGAAAATAGCCTGAATGCATGGAAGAGTTTGTAACTAAGACTGAGAAGGGTAAAGAAAAGGAAACTCAGGGCCAGATTACTTAGGGTCAAAAATACCAAGCTGTAAAAGGCTGCCATGATGATTGGACCATTCTAGTCCATTGAAGTGGAAATGTCAGGAAACATTGGTAAGTTTGTATGTCTTCAGTTTTGCTATGAAATCACTAGATCCTTCAGCATCCTCATGGCATTTCAGAATAAGGAAGAGATCACATGTGCAGATTTCACTGTGTACTTTCTCTTTGAGATAATACATAAACACGTGGTGTCTTGAAGACTCTTATACTAACAGGTCTTCTGCTGATCATACTATCAGTCAAATACAGAAGGTTAGTGCAGTTCTAGGAACTTCGTATAATGGAGACTGAATGTCGAGCTGTATGAGCTCAGCATTTGCTGTATCACTGAACATCTTTATGGATACATTTTTATGGACTAACTTGCCTTGGCGTGAGCCTGTCAGAGCAGAGTATCTGTCGATGTAGGCAGGCTGATCCCACCACAAAAGCAGCACAGGTTGAAATCACCTGCCCTTTCAGCATCAGTAAAGGAAAGACTCAGCAATGACTTATGCTCACTTTATACCTGATAACGAACTGTTCCATGTTCAACCAAAAGTGAAGATTTCCCCTAATATTAAAGCTATGAGCCATAAAAAATTCAGACTCTCAAGCAATTAGACTGTTAAATTAACATTATTCCTGAATGAAAATGATGACATGACCACTCCTAGGTATGGTTGAGAAGATTTGCAATGTAAATATGAGGGAGAGCACAGCCAGAGACAGCTGGGAGAGTCCAGGCTGAACGGGTCAGCAGACTGAACCAGGCCATGGGGGTGGGGGGTAAAAAGGGCAAGAGGAGAGGGCAGATGAAGAAGAGAGAGGTCCAGGTGCATAGCCAAGAGAAGGACCGAGGGAACATGTAGCCAAAATGGCTGAGTTACATAGGAAAAGAAGCTCGGGGAAGGAATTGGAGCTCAGACCCTGGCTGGAGAGGTTTAGGGTGGGGGTGGTGTGAGAAGTGCTGGGAGAAGCCACAGATACCGAGGGATGCTGGGACAGTTGGCCAGTGTCTGCCTTGACGTGTTAATAGGCACCTCACTTAGCCATTTGTCCTGGGTTTCTTTGAGACCTACCATTCCAGCCTTTTGTTGATGATGGGACAACACAATCTCTTCTGTAACCACTACTAAGCTGAAATGGGGTGTCACTGTCAGGTCCAGGAAGACTGGAATGGTGGTCAGCGGACAGGAAGGGAGAGGGGAGTGCAGGCTGGGGACATCTGTCTGTCTGTCTGTCTGTTTTCTGCTTGCTGCTCAGGTTCTGTGGGACCACCTGGAGCTAGTGGAATGCAGGCTGCTTTGGAGCAGTCTGTGATGCAGGTTCTGCAGGAACAGCCAAGGCTGACCCATTGCAGGCCATTTTGGAGTAGTTTGCAGTCTTCAGTTGACAGGAAATCTGCTGGGACAGATAGAGACTAGGTCCAGAAGGTAAAGCTGGGGAGTCAGGGAAAATTGGTATATTGGGTGCACTTGAAACTTCCAGACCTGTGGTCCCAGTAGTTGGGGGAAGGGAGGAGTCCCAGGACAAGGGGAAGGGGATCTCATCCTGAGGGGTGGGCGGTAGGGGGAAAATGTAGGCTGTTGATTGACGGGAGTACTTACCTGGAGTCCATTTAACCTGAGAGGTGGATCCAAGTCTCATGGCTCCCTGAAGCTTACAAGGATTTTTTAAGTTTATAAAAAGAGGTAAAAGTTTTAGACATATTAGCATTTCCACTGTTTATAACCTGTACTGGAATCCACACTGTAGGAAAAGCCTTTGAGTCATAGTAAAAGTTGGGGAACCCCAAAAAGTGATTCTGGGTTAGAAGCATGAACACTCTTTCCTCTGTCCTGAGGGCTGGATGTATATATTGGACAGAGGTGTTTTCAGAACAATGGAAGCACTTGTAAGTCAATATTTAGAAGACAGCCAAAGGGAATTTAAAGTTTGAGTTTGTGACTGTGATAACAGTCAGCAGCGCTTTACCAGGGCTTCATCCCCAGAGCCACCCTGTTATATATGATACTGCACGTGGGAAGTGCCCTGGCTGGCCGGGCTAGGGTATCCCACGCGTGAGGGAAAGCATGCCCAGCAGATGCAGCGGCAGGCAGTGGTGCATGGACAGTCACTCATACCCCAGGTACTGCATCCACATGGAAATACGTTTGTTATAATAGAAAGATGAAGAGAAAGATAGGAAAAGAGGGAGGCAGAAAGAGAGTGAGCAGGGAGGAGAGAGGTCAAGGGTGCACTGTAGCTGAAGAGTTTCTCTCCAGCTCCCGCCAAGCCCCGGCAGTCCCACAGCCCACTTATAAAATAAACACACAGACTCTTATATTATTTAAACTGTTAGCCTAATGGCTCAGGCTTCTAGCTATCTAGTTCTTACATCTTAAATTAACCCATTTCTATAAATCTATACTTTGCCACATGGCTCATGGCTTACCAGTATCTTACCTGTTGGTACTCATGGTGGTGGTTGGCAGTGTCTCCTGACTCAGCCTTCCTGTTCCCAGAATTCTCTTCTCTGCTTGTCCCACCTATACTTC